CATAGACTATTTTTTCCTAAGAAATGTCCTTGTGAAGGAAAGCAGTGAGAAAGTAGCAGTGGAGATGCAGCAGGGATATGGGGGAATCAGGGGAGAACCTGTTTTACTGAGGTATTTTTCTGAAGGGAAGAAGGCAGAAAGATGGAAGAGAGTGAGTTCTCTCTCTTTGAACATGGTTCAGAGTTTCTCAGGTGGCAAGATGGGATGGGATTCGCAAAATCCAAATAATTCTCTAATAAAAGAAGAGGTATTTCTTCAGTTTAGATGAGGAGAGAAGGGTAGTTGAGAATGGGTATGTCTATGAAAGAGGAGCATTAGCTTCCTGTTAAAGAATTTATAGCCTGATAGTTTGTTTTTTTATTTCCTGTAGAGTAGAAAATGCTGATATTTGTAGGAGAAGGGTGTGCTGAGAGATGGATATTTTATTGTTGTTAAATAGGATCTGAAGTGACAAAGGCAGGTTGACTCTGATAAACCAGAACCCATGATCACTCCAGATAGTTTTGAAGGACAGGCACAAAGAAAACAGTGCAAGTGTATTGAACAGAGGACAATGGGGAAAAGGAGTTGGGAGTTTGGGAAGGAAAGTGGCAGAGGTGATGAAACTTGGGATCTTGGCTGAAAAGGGAAGAGAATGACCCTAGATGGGGTTTGTCAACAGGAAGGAAATGGAAGGTTCTTAGCAATTTAGGTGGCATCATAATGAGGAGGTGTCAGAGCAGGAGGAAGACGTGGTTTGGCTGTAGGGAGTGGTATTATGTATTTTCAAAAGATTATGAGTGATGGCATATAAGTGGTAGTAATGAGTAGCTGTCGAAACAGGAAGTGAACATTGCTGGAGATACCAGATGTCACAAGATGGAGGCCATGATGTGAAGCCTTAGCTATTAGAGATCCCTTAGATGAATCCGGTCACAAGATGTCCACCATGCACCATCAGGAATCCATAAGCCATAGTTTTAAAAATCCAAATACATGTGTTCACTTGGCATATAATGCAAGATTTGAAAATAACAAAATACTATTCTCACTTCAAGAACAGAATATTTTTATCTTCATAATAATCTTTGATGTTACCATATATTTTTATTCCCATCATAAAAAAGCCATCAAGAAAGATATGATGCCCACTACTCACATTAAGAAATAAAGATTACATATATGCCAAAAGATTATTTGTTCTTCTTTTCTGTTTGTTCTCAGCTACAACCTACTTGCCACTAACCTGGGTTTGGGGTATATTATTCCCTTGCATGTCCACAGAGTTTATTTATTTTAATTAAATGTTTTATTTTGGGATAATTGGAGGTTCACATTTAGTTGTGAGAAATAACACAAAGAGATCCAGACTCATGACCAAACTGCAGACTCCACCTACTAAAACCCTAACAACTACCAATCTGTTCTCTATTTCTATAATTCTGTTGTCTCAAGAATGTTATATAAATAGAATCTTACAGGATGTAATCTTTTGGGGCTGGTTTTTTCTTTCAGCATAATTACTTAGTGACTCATCCAGAGTTTGTGTGTAATCAGTTGTTCTTTAGATTATCAAATCATTTATCAGTTATTCATTTTACTTCTGAGCAGTATGCCATGATGTGAATCTATCACAGCCTGTTTAATCTTTCACTCATTGAAGGACATGTGACTTTTAATTTTTGATTATTACTAGTAAAGCTGCTATAAATATTCACATACTGGTTTTGTGTGAGAGTTAAGGTTTGATTTCCATGAGATGAATGTCCAAGAGTGCCCTTGCTGGATTGTATGGTAATGTCATCTTCATTATTTTTTAGTGTTTATTTATTTTTTGAGATAGAGGGAGGGAGGGGCAAGGAGAGGGAGAGAGAGAATCCCAAGCAGGCTCCACCCTGTCAGCATAGAACTCAATGTGGGACTCAGTCCCATGAACCATGAGATCATGACCTGAGCCAATATCAAGAACTGGATGCTAAACTGACTGAGCCACTCAGGTGCCTGGGTAATGTCATCTTTAAATTGTTAAGGAAGTTCCTAAATTCTTTCCCAGAGTAGCTTTGCCATTTTACATTCCCACCAGCAATGTATGAGTGATCCAGTTTCTCCACACTCTTGTCAGTGATTTGGGTTGTCCCTGTGGTTTATTTTAGCCATTCTACAGGGGTGTGTCATGATACCTTATAGTGGTTTTAATTTGCATTTCATTTCCCTCATGATTAATGATGTTGAGCATATTTTCACAGGTTTATTTGTCATGTGTATATTCTCTTCAGTGCCATGTCATACCTTTTGCCCATTTTCTATTTGAATTGTTTGGTCTCATAGTGTTGAATTTTGAGGGTTCTTTGTATATTCTAGATACTAATCCGCTGTTGTGTATGCAGTTTGTAAATATTTTGTATTAGTTGGAAACTTATCTTTTCATCCATTCAGTATGGTCTTCACAACACAAAAGATTTTTTTAATATTTTTATGTCTTTATTTTATGTCTTTAAATTTTTTTATGTCTTTATATTGAGAGACAGAGGGTAAGCAGGGGAGGGGCAGAGAGAGAGGGAGACACAGAATCAGAAGCAGGCTCCAATCTGTGAGCTGTCAGCATACAGCCTGACACGGGGCTTGAACCCACAGATTGTGAGATCCTGACCTGAGCAGAAGCCGGACAGTTAACCAACTGAGCCACCCAGGTGCCCTAACAACACAAAAGGTTTTAAATACGATGGAGTCCAGTTTATCAACTTTTCCCTTTAATGGATTATATTTTCTTTTTAAGTTTATATATTTTTGAGAGGTAGGGAAGGGCATAGAGAGAGGGAGAAAGAGAGAGAATCCTCAGCACAGAGCCCAGTGATGGGCTCCACCAAACTCACTAACTGTGATCATGACCTGAGCTAAAGTCAGACGCTTAGCTGACTGAGCCACCCAGGTGCCCCATGATGGATTATTCTTTCAATATAGGATCTAAGAGCTCTTTGCCTGGCCTTACATTCCAAAGATTTTCTATTTTTTAAAGGTATACTTAAACAAAACCCAAAAAGTTATAAGTTTCTCCTATTTTTTTTAAGTGATACTTAAAAAAAAAAACAAAAAAAAATTTGTTGTCCATTTTGAGTTAAAGTTTGTACAAGGTTTCATGCTTGGGTTTTTGTTGTTGTTTTTGTTTTTTGTGTTTTTTGCCTATGGGTACCTAATTGGTCAACACTATTTGTTGGAAGGGACTCACTGAATTGTTTTTGCACCTTTGTCAATAGCAGTTGGGCATATTTGTGATTATATTCTTGGGTTCTTTACTCTGTTCTATTGATGCAGCTGCCTGTGTCCACTTTCATCAATACCACATAGTATTAATTACCATAACTATATAATCAGTCTTAAAATCTGGTGGGTTGATTCTTCTCACATTATTCTTTGTTGTCAAAATTGTTTAGCTATTTCAGCTCTTTGCATAACCATATAAATTTTAAAATAACCTTGTCTATATCACCAAAAAAAATATTTCTGGGACTTTGAAAAGAATTGCATTAAACCTAGTATTAGTTTGTGGAGAAATCACATCTTTACTATCTTGAGACTTCCAATCCATGGATATGATATATCTCTATATTTATTTAGATCTCATTTGATTTCTTATATCAACATTTTATAATTTTCAGCATACAAGTGCTATACATGTTTTGTTAGCTATATTTGCAAATAGTTTAATGTTTTTGAAAAATTGTATAAGCTAATCTTTTTTAAGTTTTTGTGTCCACATGTTCGTTGCTTGAATATATAAACATAATTGATTTATCTTTTATCCTGCAATCTTACTAAGCTCACTTTGAAGTATTTTTATAGATTTCTTAGCATTTTCTGTGTAGACACTAATATCTACAAATAGAGACAGTTTTATTTCTTCTTTTCCAATCTGTATGTCTTCCATGTCCCTCTCCTGCCATGTTACACTGGCTAACTTTCCAGTGCTATGTGGAGTCAGAGGTCTGAGATAAGACATTCTTGCCTTGTTCCCTACCTGAGGGGGAAACATTCATTATTGCACCACTAAGTAGAATGTTTGTTGTAGGTTTTTGTCTGTGTTCATTTTCAAGTTGTATGGGCTTTCTATTACTATTTTTCTGAAAGTTTTTATTTAATCGTAAATGAGTACTAAAAGTAGTGAAACACTTTTTGTGCTAATTGAAATTATCAGGACTTTTTTTCTTTAGCTGTTAGTATGATAGATTCCATTGATTGAGTTTCAAGTACTGAACCAATCTTGGACCCTCAGAATAACATTTTCATATTGATGAATTCTACTTGCCAGTACTTTATGAATGATTTTTGGGTCTGTATTCACGAGAGGTACTGGTCTGTAGGGTTTTCTTTTTCTGTTTGATTTTGGTACTGTCTTATTTGGTTTCAAAGTTCAAGTAAGCCACCTAAAAAGAGTCTTTTAGTTTCTAAAAAAGATTGCATGTTGGATTAGAATTCTCTAGTAAAAAAATTTAATTCTTTCCTAAAAATTGGTGTTTGGGGATTTTAAAAAAATTATGAATTCAATTTCGTTAGTAGTTATAGGGTTATTCCAGTGATCGATTTCCTATTAGGTAAGACACAGTAGTTTGTTTCTTGAGGAAATAAAGTAAGATTGAGTCTCTTTATTTTAGCCAGCAATATATTTTGATGTTACCATATATCTTTATTTTAGACTTATGAAAAAATATTGAAAAAGAATAATGAAAATCCTTGTACCTGCTACTCGCTGAGGAAATAAATATTACTAAAATTAAAAGTTAGAGTTAAAATATTAAGGATAAAGGCTATGTGTATTTCTCTTCCTTTTTGCTGTTCTCATCTCTATCCTAATTATGAGTACCATGGTTTTGATGTTTATTATTCTCTCAGATGTCCTAGTAATTGCTTTTTAAAAACACTAGTATGGCTAACCAATGCCATGTACAGATTTACACCATTTGACTTGGGTGGAGCACATTGACAAAATGGTATTGACATGACATCATTTTGATTTGCTTCAACAGCTCTCCCAGTGTTCACTCAACTACCTCAGGACACAAGTGTACAGGTTGGCAAGAATATAAACATTTCATGTCATGCTCAAGGGGAACCACAGCCCATGATTACTTGGAATAAGGTAAGATCTCAACCAAAAGTACAGTAATATTAAAAGCACTGACAAATATATTGACCTGCTGAAAAGAGGTAGTGATTCTCACATTGATTTATTACTGTTGTGAGTTTTTGCTAGCAAGTGATACATTTTACACTGAGACAAGTTGATTTCCTGCTGCTTTTTTGTTCTTTTTTTTTTAAGTGACTGCATCGGATTTGGGCTCAGGGCTTGGATAAAGTTTATCCTTTCTCATTTGCTTGGTGATGAGAGCTTCATAAGCATAACTAAATTCTTCTGAGGAAAAATTGCTTTTGTCTAATATACATTAGGAGTTTTAGTGGTGAGCAAGAAACAATTTTGAATTAATAACTCAGAAGTGGGTTAAAAATAGGGCATTAACCACAACAAGAAAAGAATGAAAAACTTGGTATTAAAACAAAGTAACATTAAAAAAGTCTTCCTATAGGTTCAAAACTTGAGTGACTAAAGAAAATAGCTTTCTATTTATATCGTTTACTTCCTTTGGTTCTTTGAGCTATAACCTTTCAATGGAATTGCTTCTTTCATTTTAAGTTTTTTATTATAATGAAATGATTGGCCTCAGATTCTGATGTTCCTAAAAATAAGTAAAATCGCATATAGCAGAATGACAGTTTTTGTAGAGGATTTTGACAAAGAGTAAAATTTGTGAAAAGTTGCAAAGCCGTTTTCCAGAAGCACTTGGTTTATTTTTGTTGTTGCCGTTTAGCAACAAGGCCTTATTTTTGGTGGCTCCCTTTTGTGCTGTCGCTGAGTGTCACGTGCGGTTTCCCATACAAAGTACATTTCGTGATCTCGGAGCTGAAACTTTGGTCTCATGTGCTCTAAAACAGTCTGAGTAGTTTTTTATAGTTTCTGTTGAATGTAATATTATATAATTCAAATATTTTTTATACTAGAAATAAGAAGCGAAAGATACACATTTTGGTCCATCTTTAAAGCCGTGACATTATACTAAATGCTTTCTCATATAATGTTATCAGCAAAATAGCTCAGTCTGATTTCTAAAAGGTAGCTTCTAATCCCAAATGAATTGATGGAGGGCCGATTATCTGACACATTTTTTACTACGTATCAAATTTAATCTTTATAATAATCCTAAATTCGTGAGTTTAAAACAGGTGTGAATTAGGCTACTTTTGCTACAAGCAACAGAAACTACCTAAAATAAGGAGATAAGGAATTTACAGGAACTTCACCTGATAGCTCAGAAAGCCTAAGCAAAACTATAGAACTGTAGGTTTAGCCTGAGAGGTCGGGCAGTATCTAAGGACAGCAGAAAGGAGTGCTTTTGCAAAGAAGATGCCATGATGAGGAGGAAGTGGAGGGAGGCAGTCCTGAAGGGAAAAGACCTTCTGGACCTTCCTGCCTGTGCACCTGCTCACTTCTTACCCCTTCTGTACGTCCGGTCATTTTTCATCTGCCCTTCATCTGGTAGGTCCTGCCACTTCCTCCCATTCTGTACCCTGAGTTACCAGGCACTGGTCACCTTGGACTTGTTTTCTAGTAGTGGTCAAAGACAACTGTGAGAATCTGAAGACCTACAAGACATTTTTTTTTTCACTCTGAACCTTTCTGGCTACATTCTGGCCTACTGGCCATCACTGGGGTCTGAATTCTTTTGAAACAGCAGCTCCTATCCTCAGTTTCCCGTGTTTCTGGGGTGGGGTGGGGGAGAAGCATCCCTACCCCTGCTCCACTCCAACACAGTCCCAGAAAGCCAATATCTTTTCCTTTTTAAAAGTTAACAGCATAGGGGCGCCTGGGAGGCTCAGTTGGTTAAGCATCCAACTTCAGCTCAGATCATGATCTCACAGCTTGTGGGTTCAAGCCCCACGTCGGGCTCTGTGCTGACAGCTTAGAGCCTGAGCTGCTTCAGATTCTATGTCTCCCTCTCTCTCTGCCCCTTTCTCACTCATGCTCTTTCTCTGTCTCAAAAATCAAAAACCATAAAAACTTTTTTAAAGTTAATGGCATAATAATGAAAAACACACAAATCTATACTAATAATAACTAAATACATGTTAATAATATTTCATGTGAAATGTAGTCATTTTATCTTCTTGAGGTAAAGTTTTAATTGAGAAACACCAACATATCAAACTTTGTAGAACATAAAACTTATGAGTGCATATAAAGAAGAAATAGAAGACAAATTAGTAATATGAAAATATTTTTGATGCCTTTAGATAGTAGATTTGTGAAAATTTTCCTTCTTGTCAAATTCTATTTTTGCTGTTATTGCCAGAATCCTTTTTTAGAAGAAAAATATGAATAAATGCTATATATTCATTCATTGAATCATGGTATGAAGTAATTACATAATTGAATTTTGAGTATCTTATTTATTATAGAGAGGGAGACCAAGTGTACTTCCCAAAAAGCACTTTCTCTCTCTTTTCTTCTCTTCATTATATTCATAAATTACTTCATCTAGTGCTTGACACAGGAGGCGCTCAGATATTTGTGGAGTGAATGAAACTATATCAAACAAAAGGTAAGGTGTTACTTTTTAAGGAATCACATTTTCTTCCGGTGGTAATTCTTTGCGCTCCCTAGGCAGGTGTTCAGATAACGGAGAGTGGGAAATTCCATGTCAGTGGTGAAGGTGTGCTCACCATCTACGACGCAGGGCAAGCCGACCAAGGGAGATATGAATGTGTGGCTCGGAATGCATTTGGTCTTGTTGTGGCCAACATGTTTCTCACGGTCGTTGGTAAGTGTGGTTCCTTATGCAATCCAAATAAATGCCTTTGACAGCTTCTCCATCTAATCCTAACTGGTTCACCTTCCCTTATATGTTCTTTCTAGTCAAACGTGTTAATATTAATTCAAAGTTATTTTAATTCTTAAAATCTAAGCTCTGAAGCGTAAACTACATGAAATGATATCAAACACCAAAGCTAACGATGCCAAAAGCGAACATAAAGGGCAAGGATTTGCAAATGTATACCATGTTTTCTGAGTAACTGACAATTAGGGGATATAAGATACATTCATAGCTAAATAAAAGTGGAGTCAGAGATTTAAGGGTAAATGGAATTTAACATGTATTAGTTGCTCTGACCTAGTGTATTTAGTTCTACAGTAAAATTAAAAATCAATCAATCAATCAATCAATCAGATGTCTAGGTGAGGTTCACCTCTATGAGAACAAATATCTCAGTATTTGGGAAATTTGTAACTGGCCAACATATCTGGCATTGACTTCCCTTTTGTCAGCAGTCTGGTGATGCAGCTGGAGCCCTTTGCCAGTGGACTATCAATGGTGATTGTTTAAAAAAATTTGTCATCGTATGACAAAAAATAAAACCCTTCTCATTAAATTTTCACTTAATCAGTTTGTATTGGAAGTGAGAGTCTATCTGTAGGCAGACGCAGGTGGCAACCTCAGCTGTGGTTATGGGAATGGAGGCAGGCTGTGACGATGGACGGCCATGGTCTCCCGGTGGGGAAGGCATTCAAAACTGCACAGTGTGCGGGGACATGTGAATTGACATCAGGGCTGCTTAGGAGCTTTTGCCTTATTGACAATCAGCAGTGGAAAGAAACGAGTTCAGCTATGAGCATATGGAGTCCTATTTTGGGCTTTGCCTGCTTTTTGGTTTCCTTAGAAATGGGCAGATTTCATAAATAGGGTTTTACAGATTTATTTTTTCCTTTTAGCTCTTATGGGTCTATAAAAATATTGGGTAACTCTTCTCATAAATACAGGCCTGGGTAAAAATAGATTTATTTCATTAAATCACATCCTTAGAGATATCACTATCTTCCTATCATAGAGTACAATAGTTTTGTAGTTTACTTGTGACTTCTCATAAAGTATTTAACTTCTAAATATCCTTATTCGTTGGGGTATTTTTTAAAAAGTGCATATTTTTATTAATAGCACATGAATCTTCACATATTTATTATACTGTATTGTAAAAATGCATCCTCTGTAGAATTTATTCTTAAAATTATAACAATGTAGCTAGTAATCACCACATATTTATTCTAGAAGGATCAGAAATTCTTTCTTACATAGAATTTCTTAAAGTTTCAAAATCTTAGCCAGACTTTCTATTTGCTATGAGTTCATGTATTTCCTGATTTAGAATCTGTGGTAGTTGTGTTTCTTTCTTTTTTTTTAAATTTTTGTTTATGTTTGAGAGAGAGAAAGCTGAGTGGGGGAGGGGCAGAGAGAAAGGGAGAGAGAAAGAGAATCCCAAGCAGGCTCCACACTGTCATCATGGAGACCAATGCGGGGTTTGAACTCACAGACACTGAGATCATGACCCGAGCCCAAATCAAGAGACAGATGTTTAACCGACTGAGCCACCCAGATGCCTCAGTTGTGTTTCTTTTTATAAATTTATGGAGCCTTTTTTCTGTTGTTCACTATTTATGAGATCTATGGGAAAATATCCTTGGGCATTTTGGAAACAAAACTTATTATAAAATTTGTATTATTATCATTTATGTTTTAGAAATGCTAGAAATCTTTACCACTAAACATGCACACACACACACACACACACATACACACATTTTCTCTCTTTACCTCATCTTCTCTCTCTGTCTCTCTGTTTTGCTCTGTCAACATACACCCAAACACTATAATCATAGTGGTCAATATTTTAGAATCTCCAACATAAGAATTTCAGTGCGGTGGACTGAGATTAAACTAACCATTTTATATATAGACAGTAAAAGTAAAACATTTAGATTGAAATGTATTAATCACAATATTTACCAGATTTACCAGATTTTAAAACAGTATAGGTAGCATTAATCAATATTCCGCTCTATTGTATATAAAGTAGAAAGTCAGGCTATCAGGATAAAATAGTATAAAAAAAGAAGTTACTTATTCACAAAAAAAATTATGTTTTTTGCTCTGAAGACATTTTTATATAAATATAAGGGGACATTGATTTGTATTTGCATCTTATACCAAATAAATTTTATGATATTGCAAATATTTTTATGAAGAGATAAAAAAGTATGAAGATATACATTTTAAAGTTTTGAATTAATTTAAGATTTAAGACAAGCAGTGTGTGTGTGTGCGTGTGTGTGTGTGTGTGTGCGTGTGTGTTCATATAACCTAAATTAGCCCAATAGAAGGAAATGTGTCAATATAAAATATCACTTATGGAACATTTTATGACTTAGACCCTTTCATTCACCAGTCATCCTAATTAAAGGGAAAAGACTGTGCATTATAGGACGATTTTCCAATCTTCCTTCCCCAATTTAGCAGTTATGGAATGTCATAACTCCACTCACTGTGTACTAAGTGACACAGAGAAGATCATGCCTTTTGAGTTTCTATCCTGCATTGGAGAATATAACCAAAGAAAGTAATCCAAAATAATAAAAATATACAATAACAATTTAAGCAAAATCTGGGCATTGTTTATATAAACCATGCATTTGAATGAGTTGATGTTCAAAGTAAGGCATTTATAAAAGCAAAAGAAAAATGAGGTTCCACAAGGTGTGATTATTTTAAGGAGGTTTTTTTTTCACAAAAGTAATCAATTTTTTAATAGTTTAATACATATTTAAAAACCTGTAAGACTGATACAGTATTTACTGGGAGCCTCTCCTTTAGTTTACGGTGTCCTCGAAGTATTTTATATTGGTGAATATTATGCAGATCTGCATACTTTCTCTGGGTGGTATTTGGCATATGAAAGCTACACATATTGCTTTAGACCAAAAAAAACTCACAATTTTTGCTCAAAGCATGATTTATTCTAACACTTCCTATATATATTGATATGCCGTTAAGTGCTATGAAGTTCGTAATTCACAGTATATTCTTATGACTCATTTCTTGCTTGTGAAAATGGTTCGGTCTAACTGAGGACACAAGACATTTACACTGAACATTAACAGTGTGAAACAGTGGGAGAAACCCTGGGGTAAGTCATCAAGCTTACCTTTATTGATCTCAGCGCTTTGGATACCTTACTTACCCATAACTGGAATTAGTTTTCTAATTTCTTAGAAAAGCAGAATTGGACACTCTCACGGGTCCTTCTTGGCATAGGAATTCTGCCTCTCCGATAGAACTCAAATGTGCAGCAATAGAGTCCTGAAGCAGTTTAGAGCACATCTTCTTGACAGGATGTTTACCATTGAGACACTGGAATAATATCTGGACAGGCTAAAAGTGAAACAGTGACCCAGAATTTATTAAATGAAAATTTTAGAGCACAAATAACATGCCCAGACTGTTTGTGATTATATAGAAACAAATCTAAGCAATGTTGTCTTCTCTGAAATTCCAAGTTGGGTATCTGATTCTGTGTTGGACATCTCATCTTGGATGACCCACAGTTCTTCCGATTCCACATGTTAAAAACTGATCTTGAATGTATTCTATTTTTGAAAATATTTTTTTAATGTTTTACTTTCTTTTTGAGGGAGAGACAGCGTAAGTAGAGGAGGGTCAGAGGGAGAGGGAGACACAGAATTAGAAGCAGGGTCCAGGCTCTGAGGTAGTTGTCAGCACAGAGCCCAATGCGGGGCTCGAACCCACGAACTGTGAGATAATGACCTGAGCTGAATCGGACGCTTAACCGACTGAGCCCAAGAATACCCCTTGAATGTATTCTAAACTGAACCTCTCACTTTCACCCCAAGACCTTGAAAACTCCCTTCAATACGGTCCATAAGGAGAAAGAGGCCAGAGCCTCTTCTGATTTTTTCCACTCCCTTCTCCTTCTCTACTCTTACTGTATTACCAGCTTTGGCTGCAAATAATGCTTCTTTTCCATTTTGCCACTTGACCTCCTCTCTCATAGTTCATTCTTTGGTCCTCTGGTCTTTTACAATAGCTTTCTAAATAGTATTTACACTTATAATATTCTCTACTTTCACTGTATCCTTAATCTAATAATTTATAAATGAGAATTAAGATGTTATTAGTTGACTTTAAGTTAGTGAGACCTTTCCTTTTATGTTAAGTAAATAATCTTTATTAAACTGATACTAATAATACTAATAAAAAAGTTAACATTTATTGGGCATTTATCATGTATTCCAAGTGCTCTATTATCAGTTAGCTTATTTAATTCTTTTGGGATCTAGTTATTTTTGAAATCGTGAATGAATAACTCACTGATTTTTTGACATTCTAATCTAGATATTTGTCTTGTCAACAAAACATCTGTTTCAAAATCACTGAAGTTGTTGCTCAGTGAGTGAACTATGAACTATCAGAAAATTTTAATTATCTTTACTCAAATATATCAATGAAGTGAAACTGATACTGAATAATTTTAAATTGCTATTTTACTATATTGACCATGATTATGACATTAACTTACATAATAATAAATAGATGAGAATCTTGTTCACTTAACAAACTTTAGTAATACAATGAATGGTGAAATATTTCTATAAACAACAGCATATATCGCACGTTTATACCTTTAACCATTTTTGAACACATTTCCCATCCTTTTAGATATAAAACCTATTCTTTTTTAGAATGTTGTTTTTGAATTTATTTTGAGAGAGACAGAGAGCAAGCATGAGCAGGGGAGGGTCAGAGAGAGAAGGAGAGAGAGAATCTCAAGCAGGCTCTGCATTGTCAGCACAGAGACCCCCACGTGGGGCTCGATGTCAAGAAACGTGAGATCATGACCTGAGCTAAAACCAAGAGTCACATGCTTAACAGTCTGAGCCACCTAGGCGCCCTTATATAAAACCTATTCTGAACACATACATCCATCCTGATATAAGCCACATGTTTACAAAATTAGCATTAAATTTCAAGAGGAAAATTTTAATGTAGTAATGCGCGGACAGTTAAGAAATTATAAAGAAAGCAAATAAAATTATAAGGCACATCTCAATTATTAGAACCAAAAAGAAGTAGTTAGTTTCTTTCCTTTACCATTCCTGAAATAATGGTGGAGCCCGCAAGTTAGTGAGCCTATTTACATATTTAATGATGCAAAATGATGAGTAAGGCAGAGTTGTTGCTGTTCAAAGAAAATTATCTCACAGAGGCAGTCATTAATGTCCATTTGTATGCTGTGGGAGTGTCTGGTTTCCTAGGATATCCCTGTCCAGTGTCATTGGCAGTCAGCCATTCTCTTTAGGGAAAGATTTAATGTAGTAAGGCCTGTTTAGTTATGATAGTTACATTGTTGGGCTACTTTTTTCCAGTATGGAGGAGGAGATAAAGAATATTCAGTTGTGAAAGAAACTCAGCTTTTATTGGGGTCTAGGTATTTTGTGGTGAGAGTGAAGGCAGGGGTACAAGTGTCCTCTGGTAGTGTCCCTTCTCTGGCTCTGTCCTGTTCCACTACCTTCCCCTTCCCCCTCCTTGTCATCTGGACCATGCTCTGACAGGGTGGGCTCACAGCAGTTGGTGGGCCATTACCCCTAAGCTCTCCTTTCCTGAAAGGACTCAAATTTGTCTTTGGACTTTACCTTCCTTGGAGGTGATAGGTGATAGATGCATGGACAGAACTGAAAGTAGATGGTCATAAGACAACTTTAAATATGCTTGTTCTGTAACCTTAGTGAGGCGTTCCCCCTTTTTAACCCCAAGACTTAACAAAAGAAAATGATCTAGTTCTTCCTCCTGCAAAATTTTGCATAAAAAGATGGAGAATGTACTCGGAATTTTCTGATCATTCTGAGCCTACAACATCATTTGAGGTAGTTTTTAACACAAATAAAATATTAACAGTATTGTTTGATTCTAATGTGCCCCAATAAACTGAATTTGCTTTGCATAATACAGCATTGTTTTGAGAACATTTATGGAAATCTTTTCACAATTTGTACCATAGCAAATAAAACATATTGAGACTGAATGAATAATAAAAAGGTTAGTTTTATTTTATCATAAAACTATGAAACCTTAAAAAATTCATAATTAAAATGACACAAGTGAGAGTTATTGTTACCACAAACATTTTCTGTGTGAGCATACTACATATTTAGTGTACTTTTAATAATCTGTGAACAACTTTGTGTTTTGTTTGTGCACATTAGAATTTAATTATTTCAAACAATATTGACATATTATGCTACTTTCTTGTTACTTTCCTCTCCTTTTCATGTCTCCATACTTGTTGGTTTCTTATTAATGTGGAGCAAAAGCGGTTCAAGTTGAAGAAATAATAAGACAACAGAGGAGCAATGGATAATAATATGAGAATATGGACGACTTACGGGTTTAGAACATAATAATCATTGAAAGGCACCTAATATTTGCATCGCGATGTGTAGTCTTCAGAAAACTTTGCCTGCCTTTTTATCTAATAATCATGTTTAGCCTGAGCTATATGTAAGCAAGTCTTCTTATTTCCATTTTACAAATAAGTCAAAGATGAAGAAGAGATGTAAATTTCCTTATGCTTGTAAATTTCATACACCCATATTAGCAAAGCTATTTTATAAACAGAATAAAAACAAAATTATGAAATAAATAAAATTCAGACTAACCTATTAATTGGTGCTTTCCCAAACTTTAAATATCATTGCCCACGTTCTGTCTGCCACAGTGAACAGCCTTTTGAGTTTTGACTGGCATTGTGCACTGTGTGATAACTCAGTCCTACACACAACCTCTCTTACTTCCAAATCCAAATAGACCTTTGATCATATATTATGCACACAGGTGCAGGGGTCCAATGATAGTAGTTGTCATCAATAAGAACACATCATTGATGCCACTGTCTACACCTGAGGTTCACAGGTAAAGGACTAAAATGGAAACAATAAAGAAAAGGCCAACAGGCCAGCACAGATTGATCTTGGTTCCTTTATTATCAAGTGAAAATAAGAAATTGAGTGGGCTAAATTTAGAATTATTTAAGAATATCTTACCAACTTGTTTTTGAACCTATCACAAGGTATATATCATGTTAAGTATATTGAGAATATTAAGTTTTCTCATAATTGTTGCAATTATATTGATTGCTTAATTGGTTGATTAATTGATCTATCCACTTATAAGACAATACCCCACTCCCTTCATGCTCACTATGTATGTAGCAACTATAATGCATTTATATAATAGTTAATTAAATCATTTATGGTAGTCTCTCTCAGCTTCCTAATTCTTGCATTAAGCACGTTTTAGCGTCAGTGCACGTGTCCCTTCAGGCAGTTCTAACTGCTGCATGGTATTGCATACCGTACGTCCACCATGTTTCTCTTACCCACACTTCCATTGCTGACAGTTTTCCCTAATTCCTTCCATACAAAGTTGCAATGAAATTCTCATTTGTATCCCTTATGGATTTGTTGAGAATTTCTTTGGATGTATATGTGGGAATGAGATTGCTGGCTGAGGGAGTGTGTACATATCCAAAAATATGTAGATCACTAAACAAAATCTTGGAAATAGGAGTGTCAATGCTACATTCTCACCAGCCTACCTGTGCCCACTCACCCCTGCCAAAACTTGGCATTAATCAGCTTTTTTATTTTCTCCAGAAGAAGCATAAAATAAACCAATAGTTCATTGGTATTTTAAATTTTATTCATGAGCTTTTCAACATCTGCTATATACTTACTAATTTGGGGGGTTCCTCTTTTACAGCTTGATTATATATATTTTTTCTCAGTGTGTTACAAGAATTTCTTGAATGAAACAGAATATTAATTCTATGAGATTTGAAATTACCAATATGTTACCTATTATTTTATTTGTCTATGACTTTTTTGCCTTTAATTGTGTCTTTCCTTGAATGGGAACTGTTAATTTCATATGATCAAATTAATCAATTTATCTCTATTTTTCTCTCAATGATCTTTAGCAAGTGTATAGTTAATCCAATGTGATTTTTGAACTATAAAAGGTAAAACTGATGTTCTGGATTTAACAGTGTGGTCGGTCATGATAAAGAATGAACTGAATTGATAGTAGAGCCTCCAACTCATAACTGCTGCCCATAATCTAGTTTATCAAGAATGCCTTTCAGCAGAGATCTTGATTGGACTTTTTTTTAATAATATCTATGTTATTGTTATTTTTTTCTGAGAATTTTTTATGTTAGTGATCTCTTGAGGACAATGAACCAATCCAGTATGTGTATGTTGTCATAATATAAAGGAATATTTTTATAACAAACAGCTATGGAATGCTATTTGCATTCATCTATTACCAAATATGTAAACATAAATGTATACTTATATATATGCATATATAATATTTTAATATATTGTATAGTATAATACACCATATGATACATAAGTGATAATATATAAAACACAGACCTTCCTATTTTTATATAAATTTTTCATTCTATTGCCTAACATTATTTTTAAATTCAGTGTTTGGAGCTATACTTCCTCTTGCTTTCAATATTTAACAATGCCAAGAAGTTATTGTTTTAATTATGTCATCAATTCTTGTTATGCTTTTAATATTCTCAATAATGAACTAAATAACATGGATATGCTTGATTATTTTTCTTATATGAGTTTTAAATATCTAGATCATTTTTATTAGCATCTTTTCCCTTTACATTAAACTGCTTAACCCATCATCTGGAGAAGATTTAATATGTTGAAAATTATGAAATTTAAGTCAAAAGCTTTCTTTGTCTATAATATTCAACTTGATAGCATTTTCACACACTGAAGAGCTATAGAAACAACATGAATTCTTTTTCACTGAAATCTTACTGAGAGTCCAATTCTTGCTTTAAGAAATCTCCATGGGGAGTGATAATATTTACTTCATTTTAATGTTTAACATTAAAGCAAGGTGGCTGAAGAGATAGGCATTTCACACCTTTCTGAAGATGACAAATTACTAACACACTTGAATCCCATTTGAATCAGTGTTATAAAAAAGTAAATATTTCACATAGCTTTACTAGATTTTGGAATGTTTTCGTTCCCTGAATAATGCTGTTATTGTTGCTGGAAGCTTTGCTTCAGGATAATTACCTATTCTTCTGCGGTGGACAGTATCATGTGGACACTGTATAACATTTTTATTGTCTTGGAAGTTTTTGTAACGCCATTTATATGAGATCATTCCTAACTTCAAGGTCTGTTTGATACTTTTAATCATGGAATTGATTTTCAAAGCAATACAGGGTAGACAAGCTGGCGATGACTTTGTTGAATCATCCATTCTTGATGCCGTACAGAGGGTTGACAGTGCAATTAACTCCACACGAAGACATTTGTTTTCACAGTAAGAATTTATTTTATTTTGATTACAAAATTGTTTTCACTTCAGTCCTACTTGGTTTTTATAATTTCCATAAATCACAGCAGGCATGGTGCAAAAGATTGCCGAAGTATGAGTTTTTTTCAGTCTTGTGTGCATGTTATCACCCTGTAGGCTAGCTCAGCCTCAGAGAATGAAACTTCTTCCTCTTAGAATCATGGCAGAAACTTATATCACAGATCTGCTCTATATGACCCCACAATGGGTATCAGGTTCTGTTAGGTTGGCATCTACCAGTATAGAGACAGTGCTCCTGCCAGTTCAGGAATTTAGAGTGATTGTCAAGTTGAACACATCTGGTCATAAACTGATAGCTCACAGGTGAAAGATGTGTTTAGGATATGTAATATTTTGGTTTATTTTAATCTGAATCAGAGTATCTTTAAAGTGGTGAAGCCTTCCAGTTCTATAAAGTCCTCCTGAGTCCTGGTAGAGATACATGGAGTGCTTTGCATCACCTGAACATATAGAGTCTATTGTGATTCCTTACTTTATCGCTTCTAGCTGGGTGACCTTGAGCAAGTGAGTAAACATCTTAGTACCTCCGCCTTCTTGTCTGTAAAATGGGGATAACAATGGGATCTGCTTCATGGACATACTTGTTAGGAAGATTGAATAAGTTAGTGCAGTTAAAGTGCTTCAACAGTTTCAGTCACATAGAAAAGGCTTAATTAAAGTGAGTGATTTATATGATTACTATTGTTCTGGGATCTAAAGTTGATTATGATTTCAGACACAGAGAACCAGATCTGCCTTAGCCAACCCAAATCTCTAAAACAGTTTCACATTCTCAGTGACTAATATTCTTTTAACTTACTTAGTTCAGTTCTTCAATGCATATAAACCACTACTGTGTGCTGGTCAGTAGGCGGGGTACTTGGGATATAAAGATGGATAAACCATTATCTCATCACTAACACAGTATTTCTGTGGCAGAGGACACAATATTATCAGCGCTTTAAGTACATCTTGTTGTGTAAGTAATAGTTGTATGTGAGGATACAGAAGAAATGAGAGGTGGTAGTTTGTTGGAGTTACTAGGGAGATTTTATGGAGACAATGAGGTCTGAGCAGGATGTTAAAGGTGAACGGGAATTTCCAGGGAGTTACATATGAGGAAAGGGAAGCCAGTGCCGAGACCCAGAAACGGGGTAAATTGCACGTGATTTCAGAGGGTTCATCATGACCTATGTGTGGACCCCGCAAGTTTATAACTTTCACCACAGATGTTGCCTTTTATTGAAAATTACTCTTTAAATCACTGATTCATTAAAAATGTATCTTTTGAGTTCAGCACTGTCACTGACATTTGGGATTCACTCATTAATGAAACAGAAAAAGAATTCCCAGCTTCTCCCTGAAGCTTATTTTCTGGTGGCGAAGTTTTCCTTCTTCTCGATTGTTTGGGAAATGTATTCTTAAATGCACAGTACACATGAGATTCCTGGATTCTGCAGTTTTGCCTTGTGAACAGAATGTCTTTTGTCATTTGCAGAAAACCTCACACCCCTGGTGATCTGCTGGCTCTGTTCCGTTATCCGCATGACCCATTTACTGTGAAGACAGCAAGAGCTGGGGAGATTTTTGAGCACACACTTCTGCTGATCCAGGAGCATGTGAAGCAGGGGCTCACTGTTGATACAGAGGGAAGAGGTCAGCTTCTGAAGGAGTTTTGTTCCCTGCCTACTGTCCATAGCAAAACTGATCACCCCCTCCCCTCAGCTTTTAATCTCTAAAACACCATGTGATTCAGACATTAGTCTACCACTTTTACCAAATGGATGCAAATGTTTCTCATAAGAACTGTAATTCAAAAGTATGATAAATATATATTTGAACCTGTCAACTTCTAACAGCAATATATGTCTAGTAAATCTAGGAGACCCATTTTAGGTGAACTTACTTTTTGAATCCAAAAGATATTACTACTTCCTATGGAAAAGGCTTCATTCCCAGTGTAATGTTCCTCAATGTATCTTTGGAATCACCTCAGTGATTCAGTGAATTTATTTCAATTCCTTCCTCCATCTATAACTTATGTATCTTGTCCAATCTATTTTCGTTTTTGCTATCCTGAAATTCTCATGTATTTGTTCCTCAAGGCAGACATTTATTTAATAAATGTCAAATGAGACTGATATGGAAATCTTTCATATTTTTTACCTTTTTCTCTTTAAAATTAAATAAATGAATGTGATCTTTGGCTATACACTAATTATTCTGTGAGCACAAGAGCAACTTCTAGAGGTTTGCCCTTTCTTTATTCCCCTTCAGAAAATAAACCAAGATACGGTGCACAAGGCCTTTGGTGCCCTGTACAATTTTTCCAAAGCCCAATTTAACAGCCTCTAGTGGTCTGTTATGTCTTGGGTTTCAGAGTTTCCTTAACTGAAGTATCCAAGTGAAACTTCCATAGAGTCCATATTAGCACTTGAATCAGATTTCTGACTGCTTGCTTTGGAGTCTTCCTAGCATGAGTTAGCCAAGGTCAGGTCTGCAAGAAGCCCACTTCTACATTCCTGATTTTCAGATCAGGACAATGAATCTTTAATTTCTCTTCTCACAGGCATCTACTAGAAGAAGCAATTTTCAAGAATAACTTAGTCTAAATTCATAACTAGAAAATAAGCAATAGCTACAGATTTAGCTTTGCTAAAATATGCATCCACTGTTCATGATGCTCATTTTGCCAAATGGAGTACATCTTCTCATCTAAAATATAGAAGAACATTAGCAAAATTTTCCCAAGGAAAAAAAATACTATGCTGTTCTACCTGTCTTTTAATATTTGTAAAGTTAAAGGCCTTTTTCCCCTCCAGGATCAGCTTGCCCTAAAAGTGAACCTAGGATCCAAGCCTTTATATACAGGAAGATTATTGTGTATTTTCACGATAACAGTATCCGAGGACCCCACCAGAGACCAGCTATCCAGATAAAGGACAAACGGTCCTGGTATCATTAGCCAGTTTCTGATGATTGAGGAGGGATAATAACTCTCGGCAAACAGGATTTAGTGAACAGTCTTTGCAGATTTAGGATTATGCTGCAATGTTAAGCTCTGTTAAAAGAGCAGCTCCTAGGGGCACCTGGGTGGCTCCGTCGGTTAAGTGTCTGACTTCAGCTGAGGTCATGGTCCGACTTCAGCTCAGGTCATGATCTCACAGTTCGTGGGTTCGAGCCCCATGTCGGGCTCTGTGCTGGCAGCTAGCTCACAGCCTGGAGCCTGTTTCAGATTCTGTATCTCCCTCTCTCTCTGACCCTCCCCTGCTCACGCTGTCTCTGTCTCTCTCTCAGAAATAAATTTTTAAAAATTAAAAAAAAAAAATAACGGCTCCTACAGGTTGTGTGGGACCTTCCCTAGGGAATGACAACCTGTAGGAGTTTAGAAGTTACTGCTTCATCCTTTCGTATCAAATATCATTCGGGTTAATATCACGACGATCCACACTAGCACGTCTGAGGCCCTGTCTTCCAGAAGCGTAAAACCCGAAAGAAAGAATTCTGAGACGGAGGGAAAAAGTTACAATCTTCTGAGAACCAAGCCTTGCCCACATTGTATTGGTATCGTCACAGAACTAGGAGCTTGATGAGAACTAGAATGTGTCTCTCTTTGTTCATTCTAGCAGTTAGTCATTGCTCCTAAGAGGGGCATCAAGCCCCACTAAAAAATTTTAATGTTTATTTATTTATTTTTGAGAGAGAGAGAGAGGGAGGGAGGGAGGGAGAGAGGGAGACAGAGAGAGCGCCAGCGCACAAGCAGGGCAGGGACACACAGAGAGAGGAAACAATCTGAAGCAGGCTCCAGGTTCGGAGCTGTCAGCACAGAGCCTGAGGTGGGGCTTGAACCCATGACTGTGAGATCATGACCTGAGCCGAAGTGGGATGCCTAACCCACTGAGCCACCGAGGTGTTCCCCTCCCCCCAATTTTATTAGAACTTTCGGTGGTGTTCTAACGAGGTGCTGCGGGCTGTAGGAAAGACGAGTGCCCGCCCGGAGAGGCCTGCGCCCTCGGCCCCTGGGTCCGAGCCCCTCCCTCCCCCCACCCCGCCTCAGCGGCCGCTCTCTTCATTGCCCGGCTGCTCTGCGTTTCAGAATTCCGCTACAACGACTTGGTGTCCCCGCACGCCCTCAGCCGCATCGCCAACGTGTCCGGCTGCACGGCCCACAGGCAGGTGCCCGACTGCTCGGACCTGTGCTTCCACCGCAAGTACCGGGCCGCGGACGGCACGTGCAACAACCTGCGGCACCCCGCGTGGGGCGCGTCGCTGACGGCCTTCGAGCGCATCCTCAAGCCCGCCTACGAGAACGGCTTCAACCTGCCGCGCGGCGCGGGAGCGCGGCCGCTGCCGCCGGCCCGCCTGGTGTCCACGGAGCTGGCGGCCACGGCCACGGTCACCCCCGACGGGCGCTACACGCACATGCTGATGCAGTGGGGCCAGTTTCTGGACCACGACCTGGCGCACACGGTGCCGGCGCTGAGCACGGCGCGCTTCTCGGACGGGCGGCCGTGCGGCGCCGCGTGCACCGACGACCCGCCCTGCTTCCCCATCGCGCTGCCCGACGGCGACCCCCGCCGCGCGCAGGCGCCCTGCATGTTCTTCGCGCGCTCCAGCCCCGTGTGCGGCAGCGGCCTCACCTCGCTGCTGGCGAGCTCGGTCTACGCCCGGGAGCAGATGAACCAGCTCACCGCCTACATCGACGCCTCCAGCGTCTACGGGAGCTCGGAGCGCGAGGCGCGAGCTCTGCGCGACCGCGCGGCGCCGCTGGGGCTGCTGCGCGCCGGCCGGGCCTGGGCGCGCTCCGGGAAGCCCCTGCTGCCGCTCGCCGCCGGCCCGCCCACCGAGTGCGGCCGGCCCCCGGGCGCCCGCCGCGGGCCCTGCTTCCTGGCCGGGGACCACCGGGCCAACGAGCAGGTGGCGCTCACGGCCGTGCACACGCTGTGGTTCCGGGAGCACAACCGCGTGGCCACCGCGCTGTCCGCGCTGAACCCCCACTGGGACGGAGACACCCTGTACCACGAGGCCAGGAAGATTGTGGGCGCGGAGCTGCAGCACATCACCTACAGCCACTGGCTGCCCAAGATCCTGGGGGAGCCCGGCATGAAGATGCTGGGGGGCTACCGGGGCTACGACCCCAACGTCAACGCGGGCATCTTGAACTCCTTTGCCACCGCCGCCTTCAGGTTCGGCCACACGTTAATCAGTCCTGTTCTGCATCGGCTGAACGACACCTTCGGGGAGATCCCCCAAGGCCACCTGCCACTGCACAAAGCCTTCTTTGCACCTTCCAGAATAATCGAGGAAGGCGGGATCGACCCCCTCCTCCGGGGGCTGTTCGGCGCGGCAGCGAAGCTGCGGGTGCCTTCGCAGCTGCTCAGCCTGGAGCTGACCGAGAAGCTCTTCTCCACCGCGCGCTCCGTGGCCTTGGACTTGGCAGCCACCAACATTCAGAGGGGGCGAGACCACGGCCTCCCTCCCTACGCCGACTTCCGCGTGTTCTGCAACTTGAGCTCCGTGCAAAGTTTCGAGGATCTTCAGAATGAAATTAAAGATGTAGGCATTCGACAAAAACTGAAAAAGTAAGTGTGCAAACGGTGCTGGGATGTACTATTTCTTGGGAGACGGAGACTTGTTAACGGCGTGTTGCATGGATGGATTTGGTTGCCTGGTGATACTATTGCGGTACCTGTTATTGCGGGAGGAGTCAAATATTAAAGGAAGGGTTTCTAGAGACTAAGCAGGAAGCTCCTTTGTCTCTCAATGTTGCTGCCCCTTGGCTAGTACTTGCTGGTACATCTCAACCAGGAGAGGCGAGCGTCTGGTGCACGCATGCTCTGTGGTAATCTAATCAAGGCCTTTTTATTGATAGGATAAGGTCACAAATTCTAATGTAAAGCCTTCTAATAAAACCATCCATCACATTGGCGTTTTTAGGCAGAGCAAAGTAGTGAAATGAAAACAGAAATTAGTTTTTGCCAAAAGAGCAAATAATTCTAAATCTATCATCAAAACGTAAGTCAAAGCTCATTCACTACATCTTTAATGTCTTCAGTAAAGTATTAACATTATGTTCCCTTTTTATTTTTAAATTATTTTTAATGCTTATTGTATTTTTGAGAGAGAGAGCATGAGCAGAGGAGGAGCAGAGGGGGCGGGGGAGACACTCTGAAACAGGTTCTGTGGAAGGGTAGGTAAGGAGAGAAAAAAAACCCAAAAAATAAAAAACCTCAAGGCAACCTGGTTATAGGCACACGTGACCGCATCCTTCACAACCTTGTAACATGAGACCGCTTGATTAGACTGCATGTTTGTATGTTACCATATACAGGAGACAAAGAAGTGGAAAATATATTAAAAACTACAGCACGTGGTATTCAGGGGCTCAGTTCTTCAGGTACCTACCCAGCTGAGCAGTGCCTGCAGGAATAAAGTTGCTTCCTAGAAAGAAAAGTCTCAGTGTCACGACTGTGTGTGTGAGAATCCGGCTACAGCTCCAGACTCTGAGCAGTCAGCACAGAGCCTGACTCACCTCCCAAACCGCCACATCATGACCTGAGGTGAAGTCACAGCTTAACCGACAGAGCCACCAAGGTGCCCCCAGTATTATGTTCTCTTTACATGAGATTCAAATTTCCTTGAACTTACACATAGAGCACATTTCCAGGAAACAACTCTAACTGTTCCTTATGATCAGCACTGTTCATCCCCAAAATATTTTTTTTAAATGTCCTATGAAGAAGTTTTGTGTGAAGTAGGCTAAATATAGAAGACTAACATGTTTATTAATAGCTTATGATGTATTTATATGAGATCTTTCAGAGAAGCTTAAACTTGCAAATTATGGATCAAAACGTCAATATTAGGCCCTATTTTGCAATACTGAGGATGTGAATATTTTTATGCCACTAGACTCTGTTTAATACTGATGTAGAATATTAAGCTGTGAAAATGATAATACAGGCAGAACAAATCAGAGTATCCTGCAGGTTGAACTTGCAGAAAATTGACTTTGGACTCATGGAGACCTGGCTTAAATCTCTATTTCACCACCTATTAGTGCTGAAAGCTTGTGAAAGGTATTTAAACAGCTTAACATCTCAGAATATCTATGAAAGGAGAAAGCACTGCCTCCTCATAGTTGCAAAGATGAAATTATATAGAATGTATCAAATTCCTAGTTCAGTTCTGGTGCATTGTAGGTAATCAATAAGTGTTACCTGTGGCTACATGTATCATAACATTACCATTTCGGCTGTCAGCATCATTATTAGATTGCACATGTGCTCTGATCCAGCCCTGTGCTAGGCACTGAGATCTGAGACAAAGGAAATAGCCGTGCGTGCTCTGGAGAGCCTGATAGCCTGCAGGGAAGGGGGGGTGGGCGCTGGTTGTAATCGGTGTAGACAGGGCTGTCACAGAGATGGGAATTGAATGGGAGTACAGATCTGAGAAATGGAAGGTACAGGGAAAATGCATAGCAAGCTACTTATAAAAGATGCCATTTGATCAGCTCCTGGAATTTTTTGCATGTGATAAGTTGAATGAAGTGGTAACAGTGGGCAGTATCCCAGGGAGTGGGAAGAAGCAGGAAGGTATGGGGCTGTGTGGCAGGAGGCTGGGAGTAGAAGAGTGACAGGGTAGCTTTTAAAGGGTCCTGTGTGCCACGCAAGGGAGTTTGATCTTCCCCCTGTGTTTAAAGCAGGAAAATGACTCCAGGAGAGGCTTCTCTCTGAAATGCTAACCTGAACCAGATATCCTGGGCAGAAGAGAGGCTCCAGCAAGGAACTGCACGGTTTCTGGAGCAATCCAGGTGAAATGAGAAGGCAACAGAGATAGGCTCATGGCAGTATATGCAACACTATCAGTATTTTAAATGTTTCCTGTGCAGACATTTTCTGCATTAAATAAACCTTGGAGCAAGGTTTGCTTTGCAATTCACTGGAGGCCCACTTCTCAATTTGCAGCTAACTTGTAAATTCACCACCAATTACAGAGTAGCAGAAATGTGTCCTTTTAAAATGTTCTCATCTGGGGCAACTGGGTGGCTCAGTCGGTTAAGTGTCCAACTTCAGCTCAGGTCATGATCTCTAGGTTTGCCGGTTCGAGCCTGGCACCAGGTTCTATGCTAGCAGCTCAGAGCCTGGAGCCTGTTTCAGATTCTGTGTCTACCTCTCTCTCTGACCCTCCCCCACTCATGAGGGGGCAAAGTCTGGGTTGTGGTTTTAGTGTTACTGCTTTGACACAGATCTGCTGATTAGAAGTTCCAGTCCCCTGGTTTGGGCATAAGCTTATGTGTGTACAGATTAGTTCTGAAAGGGAATAGGAATTTTCCATGGAAGCGACAGTCTGAATGCAGATTCCTTGTTTACGTTTATATCTTTCCCCCATAGTTTATAGTTATGTAACTCACAACTAATTGGCATCAATGTTTGACTCTCCTTTTGACGATCCTTCTCAAAACACTGAATTTAGTTTTCACAGGACTAAGTACACTCCTCTTTTTACACAAAGATTTCATTATTTTTTGTAACACATAATTATAATCCAAGTCACAAGGACGGCTGCCATAAGCAAGTTTGTAAACTCCACTGACTCCCTTGCTGACAGCTCACGAGGCTGCAGCTGCCGTTGGGGCAGGGGCCCCCAACCCAGGAAGGAGCCCCCAACCCCAGGGCCGTCAGCCACCAGCCACGTGGGCAGGAATGGGGAGCACTGAAGATATGGTTCTGGGGGAAGAAGACGTTGTCTAACAACTGATACCTACTGTGCACTCTAGACATTTTGTAATAATTTAAATATTTGGGACATATAAAAGGCTACATATGATACTGTAAAACTAAGAGAAAGCTCAAGGGGTTGGGGGTAGGTAGAGGGGTGGTGTCAGGAGACCCAGGTTTTTGCTCTCTGTTAGACAAATTGATTTGTGTGACTTGGATGACTTTAGATGAATTTTTTTGTTTTTTCACCTGCAGAGTGAGGATGCGTCACTTAAGACTGAAGTCCTCCTGGGTCTAAGATCATAGGTTTCTTTCAGTTAACTATATGTGATATAATAAAATGATAATTTAGAAGTACTCTTTAATAGTTTTTTTCTTGTTTGGTTTGGGGTGTTTTTTGTTTGTTTGTTGGAGAGAGAGAGAGAGCGTGAGTGGGGAGGGAGAGTTGTAAGCAGGTTCCACACCCAGCGTGGATCCTGAACCAAGACCCAGTCTGATAACCATGAGATCTCGACCTGAGCCAATGTCAAGAATCAGTTGCTTAACCAATGGAGCCGCCCAGGCACCCTCAATTAATAGTTTTAATCGACATATAATATATTGATATTCCAGAATATATCCCCCCATCTTTAAGTGTCATCAGGTCTACAAAGCTAATGATTTTTTTTAACGTCAGTTAATTTTGAAGGCTTGTGACAGTTTATCACCCAGAAGTAAGATCTGATTTTCCTTTTTGCTTCTATTAATACCTTCACATTGGGTCCATTAGGTAGCTTTTTAAAAGCCAAAACAACATATGGAAATCCACGTTATAACTTTCCTCTCAAATGACCAACTGTTTGCCACGAACATTGCCTCATCTGTCACAGGCCACATTGGGACATTGTTTTAGTCACCTTTCAGTTCATTTCAGTAAGAGTGATGAGATACTTTGGATTTTCCTCAAGGAGCTCAGGGCCTAGGGAATCCCAAACCACATAACCCTCTCATGTGACACGTGGAGCAGTGGGAGCTAGGAAATCAGGAAGGATTTCTTCAAGAAGGTGGTGTCAAAACTCAGCCCTCCATACTGTTCTGCACAGTGGCTGCATCAATTTACATTCCCATCAGCAGTGCGCCTGGGTTTCTTTTTCTCCGCACACATATCCCCAAACACGTTATTTCTTGTCTTTTTGATACTAGCTATTCTGACAGGTGTGAGGTGATATCTCACTATGGTTTGGATTTGCATTTCCCTGATGATAAGTAATGTTGAGCAAACAAAGAAACAAACATTTTTTTTTTACCTGAACCTTGAAATTTTTTCCCTATTTTTAAAATTTAAATCCAAGCTAGTTAACATATAATGTAATAATGATTTCAGGAAAAGAATTCAGTGATTCATCGCTTGCACCTGTGCTCAACAAGTTCCCCTTAATGCCCATCACCCATTTAGTCCATCCCCCCACCCAACACCCCACCAGGAACCCTCAGTTTGTTCTCTGTATTTAAGAGTCTCTTATGGTTTGTCTCCTTCTCTGCTTTTATCTTATCTTTGCATCCCTTCCCCGATGTCTGTCTGATTTGTTTCTTAAAGTCCACATATGCATGAAATCATATGTCTTTCTCTGACTAATTACACTTAGCATAATGCACTCTAGTTCCATCCACGTAGTTGCAAATGACAAGATTTTATTCTTTTTGATCACTGAGTAATATTCCATTGTATATATATACCACATCTTCTTTATCCATTCATCAGTAGATGGACATTTGGGCCCTTTTTGGGTTTTCCACATAGAGTATCATGTCATCTGTGAAGAGTGTAACTTTGACTTCCTCCTTGCTGATTTGGATGCCTTTTATTTCTCTGTGTTGTCTGACTGCTGAGGCTAAGACCTCCAACGCTACGTTGAATAACCGTGGTAAGAGCGGACATCCCTGCTGTGGCCTGACCTTAGTGGGAAAGCTCTCAGTTTTTTCCTCCCCTTCCTCCCTTTCCTCCTCTTCCCTTCCTGTCCTCCTTTCCTCTCCCTTCATTCCCTTGTCTGCCTTTCCTTCCCTCTCTCCCTCTCCCCCTCCTTCCCTCTTCCTCTCCCCCTTCGTTCCTTCCTTCCTTTCTCCTTGTCAGAGTTTTAGTTTTCAAAGAGTTGTTTAAAGGCCATAAAAAAATTATTCAAAAGTGAATTATTTATTTTTTAACTTTTTAACTTTAAGATTTTTTAAATGTTTTTTACATCTATTTTGAGAGAGAGAGAAAAAGCATGAGTTGGGGATGGGCAGAGAGATTGAGAAAGAGAGAGATTGAGAGAGAGAGAGAGAGAGAGAGAGAGAGAGAGAGAGAATCCCCAGCAGGCTCCACACTGTCAGCGCAGAGTCCAGTGCAGGGCTCGATATCACAGACCTGAGCTGAAATCAAGAGTAGGGCAGTTAACCAACTGAGCCAACAAGGTGCCCCTATTTCATTTTTTGTAGGAATTTTTTTCCTCTTAAAAAACATGCTGGTTTTTTTTTACTCTGTGCAAAACATATAATAAGCAGGATGTGAGGATTAATTACCCATTGAGTGGTGAACATCAAGTCTCCAAAAGAGAGAGGCCATTTTGAAAGCTATTTTTGAATCCTCTTTTGAAAATATAATGTGTGTCTTTTTTGTGGATATAGTTACTTTTGTTCTTTAATAAGTGCCAGGTTTTTTGTCACCCATTCTCACTGGGATGTGCAGCTGCCTCTGCTTTTTTGAAGAATAGCTTATACTTCACCAATGAGGTAATTTATATTCAGTGCATACACCTATCTTACAGCCTCATTGGGTACTATTTACTGTTGAAGAAACAAAACCGCGTAGCCTCCTCTTTTCCCACCCTGAGGCACCACAAGGGCAGACTCTCCTATGACGCCGTCTCAATAGCCTGCACCGTCTGCCTCTGCCTTCCTGCCTCCCACTCTGCTCATGGCTCGGCCTTCCTCCCCTCAAGACTCCTGGCTCTTGTAATTGCAGATGTCTCTCACCTTCCGTACGCATCTGCCTTACAGGACCTTTCATCAACTTCAGCCCTTTGCCTTTATTGAATGGTTAGTATGTGAGCAACTTCAGTTGCTGTTTCACAGCAACGCTTAGCCACTTCCTGCTAGACCATTTGGAAAATCTTCCAGAAGCTATGAACCTTCTTTTGCAGAGAAATATAGCCCAACTACACAACCCAGATTCTGCATGCATTATTAGAGGACTCATCCCTAAAGCCACCCCCGGACGCTCTTCTCCCATTGATTTAACAAGTATTGATTTGGCACCCATGTTCAGTTGGCACCCTCCCCTCCCCCTCGGGCTTACCACTGTGCAGTGAGTGCTCCCACACCTCATCTCATGAAATGGCTGCTCCCTTAGCCGAAAGCAGCCCCAGATTGGAAACTACCATCTGTTCTTAGTCCTTGCTTAACTGTCCTTGTCCCTCGATCCCTTTTGGGGGAAGTGACTTTGTTCTTTCAGTTACAGAAGGCTACTAGGCTGTTTAAATATAGCCAGGCCTCCAGAGGACCAGCATTTTCTCTCCACCTCTTATCTCTGCTTCTTTCTGTTCAGGATTTATTTTTCATTCTCCCTCAGCTCCCTTATCTCCTGTTTTATACATATGGTGCACTGCAGACGGCCGTCTCTTAGCTCCCAAGGTCACATACAGTATTCCATGGCACAACTCGTACAAGATTCCCGAGCATCATATTTCTCTACACCATCCTTGTAGAATATACCATCTTACACAATGATACCGACTCACATTGCTAGACTCTGAACACCGTGTTCAGAGCCTTCCCTCCCCCGGTCATTTTTATTCTGTCACATTTCTGCCTTTCTAGAGAACGTGTTAATTTAATGACGGGGTTCCAAGAGTATGTCCTTCTTGGTTGCAAATAAATTGTCTCATTTATCTCTGAGTCCCCAGAGCTGAACACATGGCCTAGCGCAGGGCAATAGCTTGGTAGACACTGGGAAGTATGGCCGCCTGGCCCGGCTCATTTCAGTTTCCCAAGAGCCCTGGGCTTGAAGATTACTCTCAGTTTGAAGTCTCTGACCGGACAAAGTTTTCTTAGGTGTAAACCACATTTTTACACTTATCCGTACCAATTTACTTTTTCATCAAATATTTAGTGGCTTTGATTAACTACAGCGTATACTAATTATATATATATGGAATGGAAAGTTACAGCACAGCAAGCCACACGTGTTCAATTCTTGCATTACGTTAACCCCAATTTCAAAAACTTAAAAACTCATCCAATCAACCTTGAGGCTCTGAAACAAGGAGAAAACACGACTGAGCAAATACAAAGTGACAGGAGGCCAATTAAAAACCAGTTGTCAGTCAGTTACACCCAGAGGTCCCGTTCTTAGAAGGCACTCAAGACGTTCAGTTAGCAAAAACGAAATGCAAAATAATTAATCCAACACTTTAAAGCTTGACATTCAATGACATTTAATGTAGCATCAGTTTGGTGGATTTTATCGTGATGAGTCTTAGTAATTGTGTTTTAGAAATGAATTTCTTTCAGAATCTGCCTTTATTCCTGCCTCTGGAAATTGATGCTCTATTAGATTATTTTACAATGATAATCATTGAAGAAACTTATACTATGTTATACTGTTATACTATATGTTATAGTAATATGTACTCATATTATCCCATCACTAATTAGTCCTGGTTCTGTACAAGATGAAATTATAATACATACTTTATAGAACACTTTATAATGAACAAAATACATGCTTCATTTTATTTTTAAGTTCTGCTTTGCCAAAAAATATATGTTTGGATGCAATCTAATATATTTTGTCTAAATCTCCCAATCTGACTAAACTAAAATTACAGCTTTAATCATTATATGGTGACTGTAACATGCAATGAAATGCACATTTTAAGTGTACAGTGTGATGACTTTGAACAGTATTCATACCTGTGTCATTATCACCCAGTAAAGACAGAGAACATTTCCTCACCTCAGAAATTTGCCTCCTACTTGGGGTGCCTGGGTGGCTCAGTCGGTTGAGCATCCAACTTCGGCTCAGGTCAGGATCTTGCGGTTAGTGGGTTCAAGCCCTGCGTCGGGCTCTGTGCTGACAGCTCGGAGCCTGAGGCCTGCTTCAGATTCTGTGTCTCCTCTCTCTGCCTCTCCGCCACTCATGCTCTGTCCCTCTGTCTCTCAAAAATAAATAAACAGTATAAAAAAGAAAGAAGAAAGAAATGTGCCTCCTGCTCTTTACAGTTAATTTTCCCACCCGGGCCCTCCCTGACTGCCACAGATCAGAT